TCAATGTCAGGTTATCTTTTGTCCATCAATGCGAGGTAATCTTTTGTCCATCGATGTGAGGTTATCTTTTTTCCATCAATGCGAGGAAATCTTTTGTCCATCAATGTGGGTTTATCTTTTGTCTATCATTGAACAGTAATCTTTTGTCCATCAATGTGAAGTAATCTTTTGTCCATCGATGTGGGTTTATCATTTGTCTATCATTGTGAAGTAATCTTTTGTCCATCGATGTGGGTTTATCTTTTGTCTATCATTGTGAAGTAATCTTTTGTCAGTCGATGTGGGTTTAACTTTTGTCTATCATTGTACAGTAATCTTTTGTCCATCAATGTGAAGTAATCTTTTGTCCATCAATGTGTGGTAATCTTTTGTCCATCAATGTCAGGTTATCTTTTGTCCATCGATGTGGGTTTATCTTTTGTCTATCATTGTGAAGTAATCTTTTGTCCATCGATGTGGGTTTATCTTTTGTCTATCATTGTACAGTAATCTTTTGTCCATTGATGTGGGTTTATCTTTTGTCTATCATTGTGAAGTAATCTTTTGTCCATCGATCTGGGATAATCTTTTGTCCATCGATGTGGGGTTATCTTTTGTCCATCGATGTGGGTTTATCTTTTGTCTATCATTGTACAGAAATCTTTTGTCCATCGATGTGGGTTTATCTTTTGTCTATCATTGTGAAGTAATCTTTTGTCCATCGATGTGGGTTTATCTTTTGTCTATCATTGTGAAGTAATCTTTTGTCCATCGATGTGGGTTTATCTTTTGTCTATCATTGTGAAGTAATCTTTAAATATATCTTCCTTATTCTCTCTCATATCATATAAGGTTCGCAACATATTCCAAGAATTACCTCCCCTTTCATATTAACTCACTTTGCAGCAAAATCTTGGGGATGAACTCAATGTTCATTGTATGTCCGTATACTCCAAAAGTAGCCATATCAAGGCTGTCGTCGATGGTCCGGCCGGTCCGGCCTTGGTCGGACCAATATTTTGGCCAAAAATGAGTAAAAAAAAAACAAACAAAAAACAAAAAAAAAAACATGCATTGCTGATTAGCAATTTCTAAGTTAGTTAAGAATTCTCCTAAACATAAGAAACTTAAGCAAGATCTAGCACCTGAGACGCCGGGTTTTAGAACTCTGTGCCCTACTCGCTGGACAGTCTGTGAAGCTAGGGTAAGAGTGTTTTTATATCAATCTTAAAATCCTTGTATGATTGTGGCCAATTAAATAAGAAAGTATTTTTTAAACTGTTTGATACTAAAATATGTCCTCAGTTACTATTTGGGGCAGAAAATTGGGGCATGGGTAAATTTGAAGAGCCAGAACGAGTACAATATTATGCATGCAAACGCTTTATGTGTTGTAAACAAACTAGAGAACTTGGTTTTGTTTGTGATTTCTATGGTAACGATATTAACCGAGACATCTTAGAGGTGCAGCTTCAGCTGCTACGTTCACATTTTGATAAATCAGAAAATAGTAAAGTAAAAACTATTTTAAGTGACCTTCGATGGGAGAAAAGAAAAAATGTCATTATAGACAGGGAGTCACTGTGAACAGTCTCTAAAGAATTTGGATATACGAACATATGTTGCCAATATTTTGTTTAAAAGCAGGATAGTACCATACTTAGGGTTTAATTATATTTTTCATTTATATTATATATATATTAAACACACCACATATCATCTTTTTATTTCACTTTCTTTTTTCCTTCATTATGCCGGAGATATGCTTTAATCTTAATTTCGTAAAAACTTAATTTTTTTGTAACCCATTCGAGCTTCTCCCCTTGCAAAAGTCGCTTTACACGGCTTATATAACGTAACGGGAGACGCTAAATCATGGTCGTTGTACGCACTAGACAGGGAGTCGCTACATACAGACCATTTATATAGTAAATACTGTTCGGTGCACCAAACTATGGTCTTTACTGTACTGTTACTCTACCGGACGTTTTGAAATTTGTATCAGAACAGTTGGTGCTAGAACGAGCACTGTTCTCTGAGGTTATTGTGTTGTTAAAGATTTTGTTAGTTATACCTACTACTAATGCTACCAGTGAACTCAGAAGAATAAAGACATACCTTAGATCGACAATGTCTCAAGTACGCTTGAACAATCTAATGGTGTTACATGTTCATAAGTACAGGACAGATTCACTCAACTTATTTGTAATTGCCGATGGGCTCATTACCACCAGAGAATGACGGCGATGTGGTTTTGGAAAATTTACATAAAATGAGACTCTGTTGTGTAAGATTATTGTGAACAAAATACAAGTTACTGCTAAACAAAAAGTGGTTATTGTTGACTCGTAATGTACTATTTTTCCATCATGTCATTGATTGTTTATTGTGCGAGTTTTGTTAAACAATAATCCACGTACTGTAATATTTCTTGTAGTTGTTTATTTGTAATTATCAGATACAAATGCATCTAAAGAATTATACAACATTAATTATTGTTTATTTTTTATTTGCCAAATATCAATTACATGTATTCATCTTTTATGTACACCTATCCGTCCGTTATGCGAACCTTAAATTTCACCCTTAAAACTTACGACGCACTTAAATCTGTAACAAATCGTTGACATATTACTATAACATGTACTAACAGCAGGCTGTAAACTGTGCCAAATATACAGTAAAACGGCCCTGAGAGCATCCTAGAATAAAAAAATTTCCGGGGGAGCATGCCCCCGTACCCCCCTAGATTCTGGCTAAAACCAACCAAATTGGCCGCACCAATCACAAAATCGTGACGACGGGCCTGCATATACTTTCTTATGTCACAATAATGTTAATTGTAGTGAAAAAGGCCGAGTGTGTTACTAAAGAGTCAACAGTGGCCAAAATGTTGAGTGGGTAAAAAGTCAAACTACCACTTTTGGCAGCCATATTTTCAAAGACTTCTCTTAAAATAAGGGGTATTTTCACAAATGAAAGAAATCTCCCTATTTTTAATGTCAGAACTTCCTTCTTTGTTTATTGCAAATTCTAAAATCTCCCTCTTTTTGAAGTAAAATCTCCCACTTGATCATCAAAAAAAAGTTCACATGTATGAAATACATGTATTAGGATCAGTAATTGCATAGGTACAACCCCTGTCAGGGGGCTAGCCATCGTTTCCTCGAGCAATAAACTTTACACTCATTGCTTAGTACTTGCTGCGCGTCCAGGAACGGATTCAAGAGTGTATCTATGAACTTACAGTTCATACACAATCAAACTGAAATAAATTCTGTATAAACTAATGCTATAAGCCAAAAATGAAATAACAAGACTAACTTTTCGTCTTTTTAATTTCCAGAATTCAACAAATCTTTAATAATAGCATATAAAATAATGGGTGTAAAAATCTACATACATTTTTGATTCAGATACATAAAAATTAAATAAAAAACCTGTCATGGGGCTCAGAACTGTGGTAAAATTTATACATATAATTATATACATGTATTTTATATGAACTTGTACCGTATATAACCAAGTCTATGAAAGTATCACTATAATAATACATGTATTAAAAAATTCTTCAAATAAGCAGGTGTTATGACAATATATTATATTTTCTATTATTTTGATACCAGTAAATTACATTTCATATCATGTAGGTATTAAATTACTTTATTTGAAACCTTCTTTACCATAAGCCTACTTGAACCGAGACTGTTAAGCCTTTGCCACCAGTATAGAGCCAGGCCAGCTTGCACATTTCGTGCAGTCTGACCAGGCTCTATACTGTTGGTAACTCAGTTTTGTATTTTGATACTGAAATCCCTATATATTCAAATGGACTGTTCCAAATTCAAAGCTGGAAGAATCCATTATACAAATTCGGAAGGTTCAGGGTTGAACAAAATTTGTAAATTACCACATAATTTCAATAAAGTTTTTGCCTCATTGGAAAGCTAGTTTGTTATTTTTTTAGTCAATTTTATAACATTTTTGGTCATAACTTAGCACTTGGTCTACCTAACCAGTTTTCTTGGATAACTAACCAGTAAATACAAATTTCTTGGCAACTGACTGACTACTTATTCTACATAATCTAATTATCATACCAGTACGTATTAGTAAACTAGATGCAAATCCAAACACTTGCATTTATAAAGTAATATAGAGGTATTTGTAATAAATGCTCGATAGTTTCACTGGTTCTATCAACTTACCAATATTTCAACAAAGAAAATTAAAATCCATAAGTTAAACTATTCTTATGTGTTTCAATCATGATTTTACACTAAACAATCTAAATAAACCATAGTATTTTTCTGTGTACCCTATTATTTACTGTGTACCCTATTATTTACTGTGTACCCTATTATTTACTATGTACCATATTATATATATTAAACTGTCTTAAACATATGTTGTACCATAAATATTATTACATTAAACTGTTTTAAAATGATTAAAATTTTCACATGAATATACAGAGACATTCTACGAGTTGTTTTACAGAAAATTCAAATCTTCAGATCTATAAATCTAACGTTTGCCTTTTTGAAAAAATTTTGGTGGATACATTTAATTGTAAACAGTTTTGTTAAATTAAATATCAAAATTTGCATTTTCCGTACAAAAAAAATGAGTAACTCTGTATGGAAAACAATAAACTTTTGAATTTAAGCAATTTGGAAAAACAAAAAAAAAAGCAGCTTTTTACTTAAAAAATGAAAAAATCTGAAATGCTAACATATACAAGTAAAAGAAACAAGTGTATTTTAAAATGATATTTATGAATGTTTTAAAATAATGCAAGATGTTGCCATGGAAATAAAATCATATCACCCGTAACGATTTAAATGATACTGTAAGGTAAAGAATGCAGAACATAAAAAACAAATTTCTGAGCTTTAGATGTGTTCCTTAACCTGATGAAACCGACAGTGTAGTGTGGTCAGACTTACTAATCATGTTACATTCAGAGTCGTGTAGTCTGACCAGACCAGCTTATACAGTCGTGTAGTCTGACCAGTCTCTAAATTGTTGATTGACTGACTTAACTTTAGATTTAAATCCAAAGCAAGGCAAATTCATGACAAAAATTCAGCAGGTTAAGAAAAAAACTTATGTGCTAGTTAAAAAGACTACTGGTGCATTTTGTTTTTTTCTAAGTGCTGTAATACATGATATGCGATACACTTAAAAATCTTTAAATACATGTATATGTAAATCAAAACAAAAGCCTGTGATAAAATGTTGAAAAATATTTTCATAATATCAGATCTATGAAGATTTCATTACTTAGATCTTTTATTTTCTCGTTACTGCTAAATAAAAAGCTTTTTACAAATCTTGGAACACTTTTTGAGAAAATTCTGTTCCAACTGACAGAATGGGAATTTGTTTTTTATAAATCTATTACCTTTTTTTAATTTCAAAATAACACTGAAACTGCGAGCTGAAACTGAAGTGACTTTCGAGCTATACTGTTGGTGGAAAACCTTGGGTACCACTGAATTGATTATTAATGTATAAGTGGTACCTGATTAGTTGAAACATATTTATTTAAGCTCGATTGTGAAATTAGTTCTTGCAACTTATATTAATCACTTTTAAGTCCGCTTCCTGGAACCAACCAGTAATGGTGTCATATGAAGAAACATGGTCGTGACCCGAGTAAGCTTGAACCCATGGTCTCTGGGTTGAGAGGTAGACACCTTAACCACTAGACCACCACTCTACACAATTACTAGCAGTAACCATCCATAAGCTGCCTAGATTCAAACCAACATTTGTGATGTCAGAGAAGAAAGTGATATGAAGACTGTAACCTTAATCAAACATGCCCAAAATTTGCCATTTATAAAAGAGGCACCAGTATTGCTGTTGACAAGTGATATATTAAATGAAATATTGCCAAAATATCAGTAACTTTATTGCATGCCTGTGAATTCAAAACAAAATATGAATAAAATTAATAAAGGCTAAAATTATTACCCAACAACAAAAAAATGGCATAAAATTACAAAAATGAGAAGTTTTATGGAGGCTAGAGCATATATCCAAATCAAAACATTTTTACACAGCTTCCATTCTTGAGTATTTTTTATCTTTGCAAATTGTAATTCAGATTTACAATATAAAGTCAGATCTGTGAAAATCATACATAAAATCCCCTAAATATGATAAACAAAATGTTATAAAAAATAGAATTCTGGTTACAACAAGAAACTACCAAAACGTAATGGGTCCAAGAGTACATATTCAAACTCTATGATTGGTTGATTTTAAATCAATGCCTTGAATAAGCCAATCAGAAATCAGGGTTTGAAACTGGTACCCGGTTTCAAGTATTATAACCTTGGACCCTGGACGGATAAAAGAAATGTGTAGGACATTAAAACAGGACAATATATGTAATATTGCTACTCAACTTTTTCTACAGTCATCAACTATATATACATGTAAAAAACAAAGTTGTGTGTTTATATTTTTTACACAATCATTTTTCATCATATTTTACATTCTTTTTTGTCTCTTTTCTTTAACAGGAATTCTTAATAAGACATATTTTAATCATGATCAGAAAACAAGTGATATCATGTAATAAAGGTGAATATTTATATCCTTATCTATAGCAAAAATAATCTGTAATCTTAATTGTTCAAAATACAAAACAAGGGAGTAAAATGTAACAGCCAGCATGACATTTAGCCAACTGAGTATAACAAAATGACTATGTGAATGTACATGGGTGTAAATTATACCAGCTTTGTTTGATTTTAGGTGTACTGTATGCTTATATGACAAATATTGCGGATTATTTTGGAATATGAAATTTGTACACAAGCTGAACCCAGTAAAAATAAAACAATTCATGTACATGTACTTTGTGCTCTTCTATTTTAATTTTACACAGATCTTAACTTCCATCATTATGATACTAGGTTTAACATATTTTTATAAAGGTGACTTTCACAAGAGCTAAAATACATTTGTAAGATATATACACATAAACTTCTAGAGCTATAACTAACATTCAAAATCTGCAACAATAAAACACATTAGCTATAAAAAAAAATGTCAGACACTTATGAAATAATGCAAAAAAAAAATCTCAAAAACCATGAGATACAAAAATAAGAATTTCTTCATAATAATAACATAAATAGATACATGCTCAAATTTATATATTAACATTACATACATATAAATGCAATAAACAAAATATAATGTGCATTTGAAAATAAATGCGATAATGTATATAGCCTGCTTTGCTTTTTTTTTTCCGATAAAATAAAAATATATGAAACATTTATATCAGATGTTTATATCATTTATCTGGTACCCCTTTCTGTCATAAATTTGACCAATGATAATCCTTTTAACAAACAAAAGAAACAACACATGCAAGTCACAGAATTTAAAAGAAAATATTTCTCAGCCTTTTATATTTCAATACCATTTTATCAGATTTTATCAGAAAACAACAAAACATGCTCTCAAGTATGATAACAATTCTGCAAAAAATTTGGCAACTGATTTGAAGATTATGTACATTAATATATACCCTGTACTTTTCTTTGACCTATTCCTATAATTACCTCCCTTGCTCAAAATAGATACCGGTACTCTCCAGTCTTGAAACCAGTAAAAGACTACATTGTGAACTAAAATTTCTCAAAATAGTCTATAAAAGACTAAAAAACTTCCTTTTCTACCTTATTTTCTAATCCAAATTCAATGAAAATTAAAAAGATAGAAAAAGGACAAATTTTGAAAATAAATCTATTTAGAGAAATCATATAAGCCAACTGGCCAAAAAAAATTACCATCTTTTTGTATTTAAATTGTCTTCATTTATCTATGTAATTTTTTATAAGAACGACATTCAAACACTACGCTTATTTGCTGTTAAAGGCCAACAAAGGTCCGCTAGTTGGCAGTTGATTGTTCCATTATATTATATCCTAGCTACCTGTAAGAAGCATATTGCTAATCATATGTTGTTGACATCAATTTTGTCCCTGATTCTATTCTATTGCAATGTTAAACTTTATCATAAAACTTTTGGATTTCCTCTGTGATTTTTAAATTGCTTGTGTCATATTCTATTACGAACTTCTAAAAATAGAATTTCTAAAAATAGAATATCTAAAAAATAGAAACTACTGCACTTTACAAAACAATAAAGCAATGATCACTTTTTAGAGTAACTTTGGTAACAGTGTCCAACTCTTTCGATTTCCAAACATTTCAATACTGGAAAACAGTTTTTATGGATTTAACAATAATATATATATATATCACAGATTTTCAGCAGCCAATCAGAAATCCACTATTTTTTTACCAGCCAATCAGAAATCAACAAAGAGCGCAATATCTTTTTCACCAGCTGCTGCTGTCTTCTGCCATTCATCTTCGGGATAAGTGTCGAAATTCTTCGTGTCACCTTCGTGTGCAACCTTTGGAATGATCGGAGGCTGAAACAATAAAATCAAATTAATATTTTCTTTATTCTTTAAAGCATTCATTAAAAAGTTGAAAATGAATATCAGTATTATATATTCACACAATTTTACAATGCGGTTGCTCAAGTTCTCTTGCTTGGACAAAAAAACTTTATTATAATAATAATTATTCTGTCATTATAGTAAAGAAAATGTTGTCTGAACGAACTCTTTACTTTTGACGGCTTAATGTAGTAATTTCATACTTGAATAAATACTGAAACTTCTTTCATCCCTTACAATGTCCTGGTGAGTTTTACCAGTAATAAACCTTAAATACTACCTTAAAGATTATAAATTGACTTGTCCATCTTTCAATCTGAACAAGACCATTTATCATTTTTAGGGAAATTTTCAAAATTTATACTAACAGTATAGCAAGCAATGCAGACCCTGATAACACACTGCTGTGCTAGATGATCTTGGTTTGCACCAGCTGTAATGTATGGGGAAGATTTTTCAGTCGCAAAAACTTGTCCATGCAACAGACCAGAATAATTTGAACAGTGCTGGTTCAGCATCATGTGTTTACTTCAATAAGAAACATCTAACGTGAATTTCATCAAATTTTGCTGAGTGGTTTTGGAGAAGATATTATTTAAAACAATCACTGAAGACAGACCACAATGATGAACAGCTACTTATCTAAAAGCTAACTTAAGCTTTATGTGCTCAGGTGAGCTTAAAAAAAAGGGTATGGAATTTGCAACAGCAGACAACACATAAGGTATGTATATGATTACATATTTTCTTGACAACTTGTTCTCTTTTTCCTCAGTTTTTCCTCAGTGATTAAAGAGAATTTGTACCATATTATGGGGGAATATTAAGCTATGATTCCTGTTTTTCTTAAAGAACAAATGACCAGCCTATGTTACCATGCAGTAACATGTTCAGGTTAATATAATGCGGGCCACCTGTATCACTGTGTTAATTAAATAGCATAATGTTATTATCACCTCCTTGACCATTTGCCTTACTGACCTTTTGTTACAATAGGCATTAAATCATTAAGTCACTGACCATTTGCATTGTTGCCAATGCTCTTATATAATAGTTTAACTACATTATTGCCTAACTTAATTAATCACATAAATTGCCTAACTTGCATTACTGCCTAACTCGATAATTGCGATAATTGAATAATTGGCTTAACTATGTTCAGGTACAGAAACAGTCGGCATATGGTTTGGAAACAGTAAAGAATAGTGAAAGAAAAGAGATGATTAAACCTGTTACTTGACTATTTAAGCCACTAGATGGCGCTGGGGCAGGTTTTCGGAGAAAATACCAGAACCAGTAATTGGATTACCAGGTAGATTAGCATGTTATCAGGTTACAGTATCTAGCTGTAAAGCAATCAGTATTCCCATGCAACTCATCAATATGTATAATAGATATAAGTATATATATGTAGCCTATTGTTTGAATATATATGTAACTAAGTCTAGCTTTTTTTTCTTGCCCCCCAGCAGCTGAACATGCATGTTAATATAATCTGGGGCTACCCTGCATTTTCTATAGATATATGTACAGTAAATATATATCATGAGTTCTAAACACTAAGTCTTTTATTCAAAAAGTTATTTTATATTTATATTCATTGTCGTAGACTGAAGTTGCTGTAATCTTATGCTTATCTTTAGTGATGTCATCCTGAATCCAGATATCAGAACGTTTACATCACAAATCTGTATCCAGATTCAATTTTTGGATCTGGATATTGGTATAAAATATTTCCATTATCATTACTACTATAAGATGGCTTGGTGTCAATCCCTTACATCTCCCTTAATTCTTAGTACAATATATAATTCAAGGGTTGCTTGCAAAATAAGTCCTTATTTATATCATATAAGTTACTGCAGTTTTGCGGTCAACCCTCAAATTGCTGTTTCATATTTATCCGGAACTCAAGCAAAAAAAAAGCATACTTATTTCAAACAATATCAAACAACGCAGCCAAAAGTAAAAATTTGACAAATTAGAACAAAAGTAAGATTTTGTTAAATTTAAAGCCAAAAATTACAAGATGTGGAGTAGGTTACGAAGTATGCGGAATAAGGATAGTCTATTACATAACATCATAACTACAGCATATGGCTGGCATTCTGTTACATGGGAGTTAAATTCAAGAGCCAAGGTTAATTTACCTGAGAATGTAAACCAGTCTAATAAATAAAGCTTTATCATTGGTCAATCTTAAATCTATGCTTAAAATCAACCAATGACGCGCAAGCTCTTTAGTCTTGATTGAAATGTTTATCAAATTATTTTAAATTTGAACTTCCATTTTTCCGTCACTGGACTGGTCGACTGTATGCTTCTATGTTAAAAAATCGTAATGGTTAAACCAAGATTGATAACACTTGAAAAACTAATTTAGTCAGAAAGTTCAGATGTGCAAAAAACCAAACTGTTACATATGTTAAATCAAAATTGTGCTTTGTTCGCCAAATCACTAAAAACAATAAAAAATTCAACATATGTACATGTATTTCAAGAAGAAAAGTAATTGTACCTAGCACAATGCACCAGCCAACTGCTACACCACCCTGAGGCATTATAGTGGGAACATGGGATTTTTAAAATCTTGGTAAAAGCCCCGCCCTGTGGTATCAGTCAGATCAACAATTTTCTGCTTAATGTCTTGCACCACAATTTCGATTTTGCACTGTACTCACTCGGCAGTGTTGGGAAATTCTTTGCCCATTTACCCCACATTGCCTCAGAGAAAGGATTATACAAATGACTGGTGCATATGACATACAGACTTATATATTGTGAAGAAATTTATAGATTATCTAATTACGCTCTTATTTCAAATATAATAGCTTACAGAGAGAGCTTTAACGTACAGCAAAAAAATGATGGAATAATTAGTCCCTAAAAATAGAAGTTAACTTTTTATTGAAGGATTTAAAAGAAAAAAAAAACACATTTTCATACCAAAGAAATGTTTATTCCAAATTTCTTATATGCAAAGCAAAATTTGCTTCCAGTGTTTATATAAGTAATTCAAGACTCACTATCATAATTCTTTGTTTGTAATTATTCAGCAAGAAATGTTAATAATTTAATTGTTTTTCTACCACAGTTATTAGGCTAATCTAGCAAAATAATACCAGGAAAGGCATTCATATATACATTATAAATATAGAAGCAAGAGGGGAGGTAATGATATGTACGCATTTCAAAAAAGGGGAAGTAACTGGTCTTTGGAACCAGTCTACTGGTACTCACTGCACAATTGCTATAATTAGATATATCTCCTGCATAGAGAACCTCCGGTGTAATGGGAGGCTGAAAACAGAATCATGAATGCAGTTAAAAGGACACTGTATACATGGGAACAAAAATATTGAAGATATCTAGAAGATTTTTTAAGCCAAAACTGCTTACGCATAAATACCCAAATGCTGAATTTCTGAACTTGTGTGTCTATTTTTAGCAACCATGATTCATATCACAATAAAATAATAATGTTCGTCACATTTTGACAAAAGTTGACACAATTTACGTTGTTTCATATTTCTTTGCAAATTTTTTTTGAAATTCTATCGCAGGATCATAGTGGACAAACAAATTCCCAAATTTCATGCTAACAAATTCATACACATAAGAACAGGCTTTAAAACCAATCTTTCAGCCCTCAGCTATCTTTTGGACAACCTTTCAGATTCTGATTTGCTTTTGTTTCATTGATTGTTTTCTTCTTACTTATGGAATAATCAAGAAACTATTGATATCTTCAATTGTTTTTCTAACACTACATGACAGTGTTCATAAAATGCTTCCAGAAAAAAAAACATGAACCAAGAATAAATACAAGTCAGTACCTGACAATCGAAAAAGCTGCCCTACAGACAGATTATTAATGTTTGCCTCCACTAAAAGCTTGAAAAACAAATTTCGCTATCCTTGTTAATATGAAACAACTCAATATTGAATGGTGGTGTTCAACCTATCAATAGCTCATGTTATATAATGCTGAATCTGAATGGGCCATATGCATAATTATCATACAAATGTATAGGCCTGCTTCTTGTTTACTGAAGCACCCTAAATTTTGAAGAGTACTATTCCCAGCAATTATCAAATATATGAAAAGAATGTTTATAAAATACAAGAGCACCACATTCAGCGTGAACGCTCCTCTATGAATGGCAAAGACAATCAATGACAAATTTTGACCAAAAATACCCGAACAGAAACCTAATTAAAAAGGGGGATAACTCCAAAATTATAGCTTTCAGAAAAATACACATTGTCTTATGACTAAGAATAAAGGTATCATATTAAATTTTGTACGAAGCTAGTGATAGGTGAAAACCCTTTAACCATCTTCAACATACAACATCGGGATCTAAAAGCAAGAAAAAAACAACAACAAAACTTTTTCCTATGTTACATTCATTGTACAAATGTATTTCATATTTAACCAGTAAGAGCTTAAACCATTAAATACATCGCAGAAGACAACTTACCATGTTTTTAATTTTCAAAACTCTTAAATATGCTGAATTTCAACAAATACTTAATTAAAATAATCTACTTTAAAAAAAATAAGGCCAAAATAACGTCAAAGTTAAGTAAGTACATAAAAGACAAACAATTTTCTACATATACATTCTATATTCAAATATTTGAGACTTTAAGAAATCTAACCAGTTGAATTAAACTGCTAATTGCTAATATTCTTTATGTAAAATAGTTCAGCGATATTCAAATTTGGTTCACAATTAAAAATACCTTTTTTGTTCAGAAAATTATTCGCAAACAGATTATTTTTTAAAGAATGTTATTTCTTTTCAATGGTAATACAAATGTATTTAAATATCTTTACAGTTTCATCAGACAAAAACCTAAGCCATCTAATTCTTAGACTAGACAAACTTGAATAAATCACTTTCACCTGAACTAACAATGAACTTTTCTTCCTTATTTTTTTAAAATATTTTTGTTTGTTTCTGTCACAGATACTTCATTGAACTTGGATTGAAAATTGGTAGAAAACAAAGTGACCGTTATATTCTTGAACATTAAAGGCACATCAAGCTATATGAATTTTTTTTTCCTCTACAGTATGGAGAAACAGTTATCATTACGCCTTGGAGATTAATTAAAATTTTCTTCTGTAGAAAGGACAAACAGTGATTTCAGTCTGTTGTAATGATGGATTTAGAGCATATTAATTGCTTACCACCAAAAAAAAAAAATTCTTAAACATTAAAGGCACATCACACCTTGGAGATTCATAAAATTTTCTTCTGTAGAAGAAACAGTTGTTTTATTGTGGTAATGACCAATTTCGAGCATGTTAAATGCTAATCAAATTGTAAAGCGCTGAATGATTATGTGAAATTATGTTTCACAGAGGTATCAAAATGTAAACAAAGTGGTATTTTGACTTTTAGACAAAATACTATATCACTATAACTGCCCTTATTGTCAAAAGCAAAAGAGGCAAAAGGTGGTTCATCTATATGGCCAATATGTAATGTTTGGAAACACTAACAGGACATTAAAAATAAAGTTTTGAAAAATTAAAAAAAGCATTTTTGAGACTCAATGGGCCTTTAAGAAACAGTTCTGGAAACAATAACAGGACATTAAAAAGTTTTGAGAAATTAAAATACAATGTAAAGCATTTTAGAGGCTTAATGGGCCTTTAATTTACAAACACTGATTATTGTTATGCTGTTGAATAACATCTAGCAAGGCCACCAATTTTGTTATGTACTGCATTAACTGCGTTAAGTGTATAAATGCAATTAAACCTCGCAAAAATTGAATGCACCTAATACTACTTGTGATAAAAATTCTAATCCGCTTTTATTACGACAAAGAACTTGATAATCCACAATTTAATATACGAGGATTACAGAATGGTCTTTGACGTAACAGCGCCACATTTCACAACAAATTAAAGTTAGTTTTCATAATCAAAATCTAAATATAGATCGAAAATTGACGGCGATTACGATATTAATTTGTTTGTCGAAAGTTTTTAAGTCACAGTGTGATTATTGGGTTAATCAAACTTGATATTAAACAGTTTAAGTCTTAAAGTGCATTTACGTAACAGCGAAATTTTCAAAATGTAAACCTTTAAACTGGCAGTAACTATGCATCAAGAAATGTTTGGTTTGTCTATGACTTAAGCCACACACCTTAGATGAGCAAATTTCCAAATAGTGACCCTTAAGAAACAAATATCAAGGGCTTTTCTTTCTTCTCTAAAGCAGGGACTGTGTTTCAGGGAAATTTTAGATCAGGAAAATTCTTTTAAAATTATGCAGTTTACCCCCAAAAATTCAATTTAGATTAAATTATGACTACCTATGAAATAATTTCACAATGCATGTCATACTTTTAATGGTTTAAGTTAAAAATATGAGTAATTTTACTTTTTTCCAAAACAATATTTGTAAACCGTTACTAACAATTTAATAGCTATTTTTACATATTCTGAAATATTATAATTATTCGATTTCTATGAGGAGAAGAAGTCTTTGACTAGCTAAATGGCATGAATTTGTATATTTAACAATGTGTTAATATTTCAGGATATTTTTCTAAACTTTTATAAAAATTAGAGTGACTGGATGCATGCTGCTTTAACGAAAGGCTTATTATAACATCTGCTTTTTTTATTGTTAACACGAAAAGGTCTGTTTAAAATGACTGATTTTCATGACAGTGCTATTCCTGACAGTGGACTGTATAAAAGAAATTGTAAATAACTATCAGGTATGTCCTTTTAAGACCATGACCTTGACCTATGAAGGTCAATGACAATGAACATTTCTGCACATACACCATAAGCTTTATTGAATTGTTTTATAAAATTTATTAAGATATAATGTAGTATTCGCATTTCTTGCAGTAAATATTTGTGCAAGATGAAAATAAAATGTTTAATGTCAATGGAAAGCAAATAAAATATATTTATCCTTCATGAATGACCTTGACCTTTGATATAGGAATCAAGAGAAACGCAATTCTTTTTCTTGCTTGGGTCAATATCTAATTAAAAAGGAAAAGTTAATAAAAGCTAAAGCTCAGATAAATACTAAAACTCTATACAAGAAATGATACCAAATATTACCGTGGAAACCATAGTTTCTGTTATACATAATATATACTGTGATATTGTCATGTTTAAGAACATTGATAATGCAAAAGTCCATTGTAACCCAGTTCTTTAACCGCAAGGGCAAAGCTGGTGCTTAAACTTTAGATCAAGCCTTAGTTAATGATAAACCCTTCGAGTATAGTAACATGGTAAGATCCCCCATTTAATGCCCTGCTTTTAAAGTTTGGACATATCCTCACACCTTCCCCCAAACCCCACCCCCCCTCCTCCCCAAAACTTTCAAACTCCCACACTGTTCCAATGGACTGGTGCATTATACAACTCTGTTATCGAAAATCTACACAGTGTTACTGTTAATTTTCAGCACATTTTCAAGTGGCCAGTTAAAAATCCAAATAACAGTTTTAGAATCTTATCTCCTACAGTGAGACAAAGGTCTCTAAATTATTCAAAAATTAAAACCAAAATGTCTTACAGTAAGTTTTCGTGCCAGGACGTCTTCCCACTCTATTGACTTGAACCATTTATGTTTCTTCACATCTTCAGCACCATTCTGAAAAAAGAGATTGGGTTTTTTTTTTGCCTAGTTTTTACATCAATTGTTTTTACACATTTTTGGTCATAAGCACCATTCTGAAAAAAGAGATTGGGGTTTTTTTTTGCCTAGTTTTTGCATCAAATTATTATTTACACATTTTTGGTCATAATTTTATCACAGTGGTCGGTTCACATAACCGGTTTATCTGGATAACTAACCTGAGTAATAATATAAATTTCTCCAAAAGTGACCCACTACTAATCCAAGCATGATTTCTGAATCAGGTGCGAGAGACAAATGATCATTAGAGTCATATGTTCAAGATACATTTCAAGTGTGTTAACCCTTAATTTGCTGAATTTTTACAATGGATTTGCCCTTTTTTTAATTTGGAACAGTCCATTAAAAGTTAAAGGGATGTTAATATCAAATTTCAAAAATTGGGCTACCAACAGAAAAGAGACTGCACTCTGGCCTGACTCTTTACTTCAATCTGACCTGGCTATATATTGCAGTGTCAAAGGCTTATTACCTTTGCTTTCAGCAGCTTAAAGGTGAAGTAACCTTTCCTTTTTTTTTTTTTTTGATGTTGTTGTTATTTTGTTTGGCGTCATGTCACACCAACATAGTATAAGTCATAATATTTATGACTTTCTAGCTTTACTGGTGAAAGAAGACCTCAGCTGCTCTTTTTTACACTATATTAGGCATGAACAGGCACCTGAGTAGAACCACAGACATTCTGTAAGCTAGTGGGATAGCTTACTCAGAGTTTCCAAAGTCCCTGTCCAGATTCAAACCTACAGCGGCGAGTGGCAAGTGTTTTGAAGTCCACTCGACCACGGACACCACCCTGTTTTATTGTTCAGAGTTTTAATTCTAATTTGCTTATGAAATTGAATTCTATCAAAACCCTGGCAGTGCAAAAAACAAAACAAACAATTTTAAGCTTTTAATCTATTTTTTTAAAGTCCATTTCAGTTAAAGAGGAGATTACTTTGCCTTGTTATTTACTGAGTTAACTTTAAAAACATCCAGGACAAATAGTTCAGATGTGGTCACAGAATAGCTCTGGTATGGTAACTTGTAATTTTGTCAAGTTTTATAACCTGACATTAAGGGCACATATAGGTTTAGAAAAGTCACTAAAATTATCAAATGTTTTGGGCTTTTTTTCACACTTTACTAAGAGGGCATTTTAGATCAAGTCTTTATAAGTACAGTAATGCTAAAGTTTGATTTTCTTGAAATATGCTGACTCACATGGAGGCATGCAACTTTAAGCAACGAAAAACAAAAATACAAAACATTTTTTTCATATTTGATATATAATCTCTATATCTATTAAATTGCACTATTTCATCTTCACAAAATTTTTTTTTTTAATTTTCCTAGGTCTATAAAAAGTTCAAATGACCTATTTTGATCTAATGACCTTCTATTTAGACCTAATGACCTTCTATTTTGACCTAATGACCTTCAATTTTGACCAAATGACCATTTACTATGACCTTCTATTTTGACCTATGACCTACCTTCATGTTTCCCAGCCGTTTAGTTCTGTCGGGAACCAGCAATTTCTTTATGAGATCTCTGAAATAAAATCAAAGGGTGAAATAATCTTATTTTATATATATTATGCAATAACATCAAGCAAGAGATAGCTCTTTCATTGCTGGCTTTCCTCCAGAGATAGTACTAAAACATGCACATAAAAAATACCGATGATTTTATCAAAATATCTTCCAAGGCTGTTAAGTTGGCTGTTAAATACATCTCTTCTATTGTGATAATGAATAAATGTGTTTTGTATAAGTATGCTAGCTCGGTGGTTAACTTTTACAATATGTAGTTCTAACCAACTTTAGCCTTTCAGCCAGTTTACATTGCTTTAAATAGGCAGTTAATAAGATTGGTGGCTAGGCCAGGGGGTGCATAGAAAAACCGGAAAGCACCGGATAGCACCGAAAAACCGGAAAGCACTCAAATTTCTCATAAAAACATATGAAAACGTTAATTAATAGGTTTGAAAGTGTTACCAATCGATTTATTAGATTAAAATCTTTCAGACATGTCATTTTTAAATTTATATATTGATAATTATTACGAGTATTTAGGAAAATAGATATATCGAGTGCTTTCCGGTCCTGTTAAGATACATGTACATTACCGGATAGCAATATTGTTTATAAAAGTTATACATGGATACTTTATTTCATTGGTTTGAAAATGTTACCAATCGATATATTATATCAAAATTTTTCAGACATGTTTTTATAATTATAATATGATTATTATTACGTTTGATTAGGAAAATAAGATATATCGAGTGCTTTCCGGTCCTGCTAGGGTACATGTACTTTACCGAATAGCAATATAGTTTATCAAATTAATACATGAAAACTTTATTTCATTGATTTTAAAGTGTTACCAATCGATTTATTATATCAAAGTCTTCCAGACAACATGTTTTTATAATTATAATATGATTATTATAACGATTATTTAGGAATGTTAAATAAATTGAGAATGCTTTCCGGTTTTGTTAAGTATATGTACCGAATAGCACTCGAATTTTCCCTAAAAAACGTACAACCTTCATTGTATTGAATTGAAAACGTTACCAAGAGATTTATTAGGAAAAAATCTCCCTGACATTATTTTTTTATAATTAATATTACGAATAAAAAAGTTTAAAATAGATATTAAAATAGATATATCGAGTGCTTTCCGGTCCTGCACATTCCATTATTGCTTTCCGGTCCTGTGAAGTAATAGTAATACATCACCGAAAAGCACTGGTCCTCTTACCTCAGACATACAGATGGTATATAAATATTTAAAATGTATGTACCTTGTCTAATATATTAATATATTTATTTGTTGTAGGCTATATGGAAGACAAGAGGATTCAAAATAGCAGGAAGAGAAGAACAATAATTGTTTCAGTGATGTTTTTTTTATTTTTGACAATAAACAGTGCAATAAATAAAAATAAACGAAACTAATTACTAAGAACAAAATAAACAGATATAAAACAGAACTTAGCAAACATATAAACATACATAATTGAAAAATAAGTATGATATTGAAATCAATCAAGGCACACTTCACGCCTCGTTTATTACACGTGCACACGCTGATTGAACGGACACACGCTGATTTAATTATCACATTTAAAGAGGTGTTAATAATACACAATAACTGTATGTATTTAACTGATTGATTATTTGAGGTATTATATATGATACTGAAATGTCATTTAAACTTATAATTTAATTATATTTACAAACAGTGATGTTTTAAAAACAAAATCAACAAATAACTATCTCATTATTATATACATATAAAACTACAAAATATATATACATAGGCAGACCCTAGATTTTTTTAATTTAATATTAATATCAATGCATATTATATTATGGTAAATCCATTTCAGTTCGAGTATAGGCTAGACTATAGCCTGATGAGCATAAATGACATCTTAAGACACACTCGAACCTACTATTGCGGCCGTGATATAAATTTTATATAATATACATTGATATTGATACTTAATATTTATGTTCAACATATTTTTTCCAACATAAATTTTCAGGCACTGTGAAGAAGAAAAAAATGTTTGCAACGTACGTATGAAAAATTTGCAATTCCAGACAACAAAAATGAATGTCATGTCAATGGCATCGGTCATAGATAAATATCAATACATAATATATTGTGTTGTAGTATATAAGTTCGATTATGGGCTAGACTATAGCCTGATGAGCATAAATGACATCTTAAGACACACTCGAACTTACTTATGCGGTCACCTATAATATATTTATGCATTGATATTTATCCTGTCTTGGGTTTCTTCACTGTCACAGTCCGAGTGTTAATTTTTCTTTTTCGTTGACCTGGTTTTTTACCGTGGGTTCTTGGTGCAATTATCGTCGATTGTCCGTCCGTAGATGTCATGTAACAGGGCTTTTTCAGGGAACGCCGTTGTTATAGCCTTTACAAGAGCGCGTTCGTCAAATTTCTATCCGACCAGGACTTAATGTCAATTAAATTTGTACAAGAAAGATGCAACCAGTTCTTACAATTTGAACACTGAATAGTATCATCAACACATTCTAATGTACACACAATGCACGGATACTCCGTCATGATTTTTGATATTTTATTTAAGAGATATTCCAATTTAGATTTAATAGCACTACTAGCATTTAAATAAAAATTATGGTAATGGATTAATTTTTTTGAGGTTTATATAAAGAGTGTGTAGTTAATTGCAATTTCTAATTATCTAATTTAATGTGCATGTAAAGGACAGTGTCTAATTAATGCAACTTTGATGTGCAGGTCGGTACTCTCAATTATCATAATTGTGTATAAATTGATTAAATCATCACCTTTTTGTGCTACAATATACAAGGTCTTTAATCAGCATGGATTAGCACGTGTGATAAACAATACAACAACAACTGTCCTCCACTGATGACCACATTGCTTTTCGGTACACATTGTATGGTAAAAATAAAGACATAACTGAACGAAAATTTATAAGTTTTTCTTTACTTTACATGATATAAAAATATAATAATAAAAAAATATGGTTCGATGCTTTGAATAACTTATTGGTACTTTTTACACATCCTCTTTCTGTCCTTCACACAACCTATAAAATATTAGAAATATGATACATTGATATATGGTATGAGCAAGATTGAAAAATCGTGTAACTAATCATAATATTTTTAATTGAAATAAGTTCAACTTAATTAATCAATTTATAACACTTTCACATAATTAATATGAAGGATTAGTGTGATTTATATAAATATTCGAGTGCTATTCGGTAAAGTAGATGTACTTTAGCATTACCGGAAAGCAATCAATACAACTTTGTAACAACTTTGAAAATCGCGTAATGAAACATAAAATATTAATAAAAAACGTCATGATATACAGATCTTCAACTACTAAATAGATTGGTAACACTTTCAAACCAATAAAATAATGTTTTCATGTATTAATTGGATAAACAATATTGCTATTCGGTAATGTACTTGTATCTTAGCAGGACCGGAAAGCACTCGATATATCAGTTTTCCTAAATACTCGTAATAATTATCAATATATATTTATAAAAACATGTTGTCTGAAAGATTTTGATCTAATAAATCGATTGGTAACACTTTCAAACCAATAAAATAAAGTTTTCATGTATTACTTTGATAAACTATATTGCTATTCGGTAAAGTACATGTATCTTAGCAGGACCGGAAAGCACTCGATATATCTTATTTTCCTAAATAATCGTAAAAATAATCATAATATAATTACAAAAACGGGTTGTCTGAAAGATTTTGGTCTAATAAATCGATTGGTAACACTTTCAATCAATAAAATAAAGTTTTCATGTATAACTTTGATAAACAAAATTGCTATCCGGTAATGTACATGTATCTTAACAAGACCGGAAAGCACTCGATATATCTATTTTCCTAAATACTCGTAATAATTATCAATATATATTTAAAAAATGACTTTTCTGAAAGATTTTGATCTAATAAATCGATTGGTAACACTTTCAAACCGATTAATTAACGTTTTCATATGTTTTTATGAGAAATTTGAGTGCTTTCCGGTATTTCGGTGCTATCCGGTGCTTTCCGGTTTTTCTATGCACCGCTAGGCCAGGTTGCCATTTTGTCCCTACATGGAAGGGTTACCCAGATTTCCCACCATCGGAATAATGCTTGAAATTAAGTCCCCTTATGATTTAGACAAAACTTCGATATATTTGGCCCTTCAGTCTCATAATACATGTATGAGCGTTTTAAAACAAATACAGAATTTTGGAAACACTGATATGTTATCCTAGATGTAGAGGCCGTGTATTTGGAAAATACAATGATAAATTACATGTACAGCAGACTTAGAAAAAAACGTATATAAAGTCAGAACAAGGGAGGGAAAAGTAGCTTCAAATTCTGCCACCCTGATCCCTGGTTTCTATTATTGGTGCTGATTTTTTTTTCATGGGTTCAAATAATTGTTGTTGGGTTTTTTTTAATTAAAAATACCTTCACTGCATTCATAATATAATCATATCTACTCTTACATGAACATTTTTTAGTTTGTAACAGAAATTTACAAAGGCATCAGAAAAAATCCTGCCTTGCCTGAGATATGAGCTTACAAACTAACTTATAACACTTGATGCAGTCGCATAAAGTTAGAAAAAGTAAATAAATGTTCAAGGAAGGTAGGTGTGCACTCAACCATAAGAAAATAGGTAACCTATTTAATACAATAACTTCCTTCTTCCCTTTTCCCAGACAAAAAAAAAATATTTGTAAAATGTATTTTTATTTGTAAAATGTGCCTTAATGAAAAACAAAATAAATATTTTTAAATACAGTTTCTAAAATAAACTTATATAATTATATCAGATTAAGATTAAATATTATAAAATATAATGTTACGAAAATACATGGACTTTATAAAGATTACATCAATTATTACAGCTGTATTATGTGACATGATTCAAACCAATATAATATTGCATTTAAACTACTTACCAAAAAAAATAATATTATATCATATGTACTTTAGGCCAAAAAAAAAAAGTTCATGTCCAGTCTCTCTCCCTACCATTTTTTTTTTTTTTTTAAATAAATTAATAATTTATTTCAAACCCTAAATTTTTGAAAAATTTGCCTATGAGCAATTACAAGGTCTTTACTCTCAAAGTATGTAATTATATAAAATAACATTTAAAACTTTTTTATATCTACCCCCTTTTTCTTTATCAGAGACCAGAAACCTTTATAAAAAATTTGTTTGGCCTTACAAAAAAATTCTGTCCCATGGTGTTATATAAATAAAGAAGATGACAACCTAGATTGTGCACTATCTTAAAACTATATCTCTGTCTTAAATTGGTCAATTGTTCTGATTTTAATAGTCTTTAGTTTATACAAATAAATTTTAGTTTGATTGTGTTGGAAGCTATATTAAGCTTATTGAAACACTCTCGAATCTGTTTCATACTTAGCAATAAGTGTAAAGCTTCTTGTTCAAGGAAGCAACGGCATTCCCCTGACTGGTTTGAACCCACTTGGCCAGCAATCCTTTGATTATAGTCTTTGAGTATTTTCATTTATAAAACATAGCTACTTCCTTAATCACATTAAGATGTCATCTTTTTCTTAAATTTCTTAATAAATTTATAACATCAAGTTTAACAAGCCCTTGGAATATACTGATGGACTTGCTTTAATCCTAAACCTACTGAATTGTAATGGCTGGTGGTGTGGGTAGTTGTCACTCCGGATCACGGCAGTGAGCCACAAGGAAAAGTTGGACATTTGACCTTGAAGGTCAAGGTCTTTTATGGATGAAGGTCAAGGTTAGTCTGGTCTATTGAAAAGTCTTGTCCCAAAGGTTGTTATGGCCAAGTATGAAGACAATACACAAAGAACTTAAAACTTAAAAAGTGATGATCAAGGTACAGGTTTGCAGACAGCAACGCCAAGGCCAAAGCAACTGTAGCAATACCTCTATTTTTTTTCAAAAAAAAGTCGAGCTTTAAACAATTAACTGCTACCCCACACACAAGCAAAAAAAATGTTTTATCAATTAATCAGAGGATATGTGTTTTTCCAATCAGCTCTATTCTTTTTCTTTTGATTTAATTACCCACGTGGTGAAAACACGAGATCTGAGGTGTGGTTTTAGTTTACATTATGTTTTCTTCCTCATACACCAAAACCTTCCTCATAGATGAAACAAAAGTTTCGAAATAATACTCATTACAGGGCTGAGTAACATCCCAAGAACTCCTACGTCTTTGTTTTTTAATGTGATACGTGAATGTCGTCATCGTTTATGCAATTATGTGGCATTAAAATAACTAATTACAAAACACAATTGTTTTTTCCCCTCCTCCGGTACAAATTCTTACCGTCACTTGTCATTTATAATTGTTTACGAACATGCCAGAAAATCTGCGACTACCTGTTCCAGTAACTTACCTATTAATTCTTAACTAACTGATACATGCTTTCTTTCATTAAGAATAATCGCAATAGTTTCACAAATCATTCCTGGCTGAAAAAATTTAACCATCGTTCCAGTTGACCTAATTTTAACTTTTATTTCCAAAGATAATGAACGGTCCATTAAATTCCATAAAAATAAAAACTAGAGCTTTCACAATGTACATGTATATTACTATAAACGGCCATTTTTTGTAACACCGCTTTAAACAAATAGGTTATCTATGGCATAAATAATTAAGGCTTAGAAGAAACGAAATGTAATTTTAAGTGGTAATCGCATTATTACCATACCATGGAAGTAATGTAACATGTAGTGAAAGTGTGGTAATTTTCACCACTGTGAAGGTCTATCTAATGTCATTTGAAAGTTTTTATCTTAAACATATAGTGACATCATCACAAAAAACAATTAGTATTGATTTTAAAACAGTACCGGCTCTATAAAACAACAGGTAAAACACTCTGGGAGAAAAAAACTGCTAAGTCAGCAAAAAATACAAAAATCAATTAAAACAGCATGGTGTTCACCGACATATGTTAAAAACAACCAAGAGGAGAGATATAACATAAACCACAACCTAGTAACAAAATTTCAAACTGTAATGCATTAGTCCATGACTAACATAAAATTACTTTTTTCAAAATATATCGTTTAATGGATATGTCTAACTTTACAAGTATCTTTATATTTGATGTACTTAGTTTCAGTTATCTTCAGTAAAAAAATTAACGTAACCACCAGTATCGGGTACAACAGAAAAATGTACCAACCAGTATTTTGCATTTTTATTATTTTGTGATGTTTTTTTACTTAATATAAAAAATATGTAACCACAACTAACAACACATGTCACAATACACCTCTTAAATAAAACCTTTATGATCTAGATGCAGGACATTTTTTCTTTCTTAGGTAATTAAGGCTTAAACAAAAAATACATTACACACACTTCATGAATGTACCCCAAAAGTTCCATGAAACTGGAAATCTTTTGATATTTTTTTTTATATAATATAGTATTACATTTTCCAAAAGTAATTAAACAAAGAAGAACCCTGTGATACTTACTTTACTACTGGGTCTAAATGTCTTGGCCAGTCAATTTTTCCTGATAGAATTTTTTCATAAATGCCAAATGGTTGATCATCAAAAAATGGTGGAAACCTGAAACAAAACAATAAATTTAAAATATCTTCCCCTGTTCAACAAATAACTAAAAAAAAAAAGTTTCTAAAAAAGACATCTTTGTTAAATTAAATTTCTTTCAGATTTGTTCATAAATAATTAAATTTTGATAAAATTTCCAAAATTTTGTGTTTACAGTACAACCTTTGTATAGCAACCCCCTATAGGTCACAAACATTTTGGTTGTTGTTGAGAGGTGTCTTATCAAGAGAGGTTTAGTTCATTCTGAAGTCTTACTTTGGGAAGAATAAAACCTGTTGTTGTAAAGAGGTAATTGCTCTAAAGGGTGGTCACCCTGTGGAGGTTAATCTGTAATTCAATACCTATAACTTAAATTCTTATGTATGTTTGATGATTTAAGGTAGTCTATTCTCAATGCTTTCCTACCAAAAAATACTAACATCTGCAAATATTGTGATAAATATGTCATTTCCGGAAAGTTATTTTTCACCATCTTCGGTATTCAATCATTTTTAACAGATTATAAACCGGAATTTTGTACATAGTGACAAAGGATGAGTAATTGTAAATAATCTAATGCCCAAGATTTTGAAAATAAAGTTTTGGAAATAACTGATTTGCTACGATATTGGCCGATGTCGAATTTTTTTTTTGCGGAAAGCATTACAATAAGACTACCTTAATACAAAGTACTAGGAAATTTTCTTATAGAATACAGAAGCATAATTGCCAATGTAAACAGTAAGTCTTGACAGACAAACAGAAAGACAGACAGACGAAAATGCAAACTACGCACTTAAATCTACCAGATCATGTCAGCCAGGTCATAAAATTCACAACAACAATGAAAATGAACTATTTTTACACACTGTATTAATTTTTTTTAATCGTATTCCAGACAGACATATTTACATTATAGTGCTTTATCCCAGGTAATCAAAACACAGAAAAAATATAAATACATAGTGCTATCGGATTCTTAGGAGGTTTTTTTGGCAATAAACTAAGAAAACATTGTAATTGTAGATAAACTTCCCTATAACTTGATATTTACCAAAATATTCCATTAATTCAGAGCATTTTCATGTTTTATTTTCACAATTTGCGCCAAACACAACGCCGACTTTGATAATATTATATTTATTGGTGTTTGTACTATAATGTAAATAGTGCTGTTAAAGTGTATAAAAAAGCTATATCTGATGAAATATTTAATAATTTTTTTTTTTAAATTCATAAAATTATGTTGTTTTCATAATCTAATGGTTGTTTCTTGAAACATTAGTTACATAGAATGTATGTACCATTTGATATACAATAATATTGTACGTAATAAACAGAATAATATGCTGTAGAACAAAATATTCCGCAGCTGTTTTTTTAGTTATGACGATGATTTCACACATGCTCAGCTACCTTTTTATGCAATATACTGACAAATTGCTTACAATCTAGGTATTCTGTAATCATTTTAATCACAATATAAACAATAATTTATCAATCCACAGGCAGCAAATATAGCTTGATACACTTTAAAAGTACACATGTCACTTTAAAATTACACATAACTTAAAAGTGACAGGCAGTTGACATGATCGTTTAAGGATTCCCTTTGTAGGGGTGCAACAATATGGTCAAACCAAAATGAAATACATGACTGTGTATTATCTTGTTGCAGTATGTTTTTTATTAGTTTTTAACCATTAATACCGTTAAAATATATTAAATGGACTTGTCGATTTTACAATCTGGACAAAATCGTTCATCATTTATAGAGTATTTAGTGATTGTACATGATTGTATTACGTATATTTCAGCAGTGATTTATATTGTTGAAATATGACTGTGATCATTTATTTTGATTCAATATTAAAGAAAATATCATGGTACGAGGCCTTTGTACCAAGTACGACCTTATATCGGCTGATATTACATCGCAATATAATATTATTAGTCAGCCAGTATATTGTTGCACCACCACAAATAATTGACATCAACGTCATTCCCATAAATTAATGGCAAAATAGTCATGATACTTCTTTATCTGAATTTTTTCTGTCAAAAGAAGACTTAGGTGTCTCTGATTTAAAATTCAATCCATTAATTCATATTAATAGCTAAACAAGAAAAGAAACAATACGTTCTTCGTTTTAAACAATAACAACATTTCTATTTAAAGAACAAAACTAATGTACTTTTATAAAGTCTATATTATCAATACATTAATTTGTAATAATTCATGTTTGTGTCACTTATTTTCATTGGATAATCATGACCTTTATATTATCTGTATATACAAGGCTGCTATAAAATTTTACAATTAACTTTTAACTAAATCAAAGAAAGCAGTTTCACAGTATAAAAATTTGTTATAAAGAATTTTGACAGATTATTTTGCTATATACAGCAAAGCAAAGTAGCTCTAAATAATTAAAAAAGATACCTACCATTTATATTAGGCATATGAGATGATATATATGTCAGAAATTTTATCAACTAATTTTTAAAAATACATATAAAAAAAGCTATATTTTGTGAATATATTTAAAATTCAAATAATTTTTCTCCAATCACAAAGTACACAAAAGTACACAAAAAGATAATAAAATGATAGAAATACAAAAAATTAAATCTTTGACAATATGGATCACAACACATGTTTATTTTTAGTTGTTCACTAATAAACTGCCAGACAACACACTTGCAAATAAAATCTACATTCATATGCTACAGAGAAAGTACACACCAAGTGAATATATACATTTTCAGACACATATATATCATATACATTTTAAGATAAATATTTTCCTATAACCATAATACAAATGTACATTTTTGTGCAAAGCTTACCTTCACTATCGTGAGTGTTAACATGAAAAGACTTACCCAACAATCATTTCAAAAATGAGAATTCCTAGGGACCACCAATCAACTGCCTTACTGTGACCCTTACTCTGTATAATTTCAGGAGCGAGATATTCTGGCGTACCACAAAGCGTCCAAGTCCTGCC